AATATAGTTGTGTTATGATGGTTTTAATAAAGAAATTGTGTATTATAACACAATAGGATGCATGAAATGAAAAACATGTCACATCTTTTAAGTTGGGAACTTGAATTCTGATCTGACACTTTTCTGGTTACAAAGTAAGGATATTACTCTTTTATCGTACATATCACATTTGTATTGTTTAGAGATGCGAAATATTAAAAGGAGAAGTAAGAACATCTGCCAAGAATGTGCACTGCTGACATGACAGGAATTTCTTGATCATACTTGTCCCTCGAGCATCATTCAGCATTTCATGCAATGCATATCAGAAAGTACAGCAAGCACAACACACTAAATTTAATGTTATTACTAAATAATGGAACCATTGTAGTTCTTCAAGTAAAAGCATACCTGTAATATCAGCGGACACAGTAACTGCATCGACATTTTTCTCCATCAGTTAGAAAATGAATTTACTTATGTAATTCCCAGCATTGGAAATTCAGAATATGATATGGCTGTGATAAATAGGGCCAGTGTTTTTCTGGCAGTACACAACAGCACACAGCAAAAATTCCCATTGTTTCATAAAACTCTTACCAGTACTAAATATAAAATAACAGTGTTCTTAAAAAACAGTCACATGATGATAGATATACTGAATGCATTCAGTATGGAACATATACATCTCTGAAGAAGTAGGCAAAGAATGGGCCTAAATTAATCTATTTTGATTTGTGAGTACTGCAACCCTTTTTCCAGAAAAATTAAAGCACTTATTATGGCAGACACTCTTGTCCACTGTGGAGGATAATGCTTGCCCTCAAGAAATTAACTGCACACCAACTGGTTTGTCATAGTGCTTCTATATTGAGGAAGACTCTAGGAATTCCCAGAGACCATCACTAGTATTACTGGCTAGCTGAATATACAGAAAAACACACTTGTACTTAATCTTTTCTTAATTTGTTGACAGTTGTCTCTTAGTACATTTCATTCCAATATTCAAATTTATCATAAAATTTAAATGTACAAGTTTGACTTCTAAATAATATCATTATATCTCTGCCAATGCATAACTGAAGCACAGACCCCGTATGATATTATTGCTATGAATTGAGACCTATGAAACTGTGTCAATAATGCAGTGGCAAGATGTATAGATCACTTTCACTTCCACCTTCTGGCAACATGTGGAAAACAACTAAGACTAATACTATGAATACAGTTCTTTGTATCTACATATGTATTACCATATTTACAATTCTTTATTGGAGTCCGTCATAAGACAACAACATAACGGTCAAGGTTAATATTACCTTAGCTACATGTTTTGGCTTTTAAAGCCATCATCAGGAAAAACACATGACTACTATATTCACACACTATTGAACTGCAGTTTCATTGTGATAGTAATGCTGGATACTTGATAACTGTTACATTATAAAATACAAGGTATAAAAATGCAATGAATTATAAACTTATTATAAAAAGACATAATGGTATATTATGTCCTTGGGAATATAACAAGATTGCAACAACTGACTTCATGATGTGCAATATCACATGAAGAGTTTTTAACCATATTTTACTCCATAACTTTCTTTTTATAATAAGTTTATAATTCATTGTATGTTTATATCTTGTATTTTATAATGTAACAGTTATCAAGTATCCAGCATTACTATCACAATGAAACTGCAGTTCAATAGTGTGTGAATATAGTAGTCATGTGTTTTGCCTGATGATGGCTTAAAAACCAAAACATGTAGCTATGGTAATATTAACCTTGACCGCTAATTTATGACAGACTCCAATAAAGAATTGTACATAATAACACAACAGGATGCAGGAAATGAAAAATATTACCATATTTACTGAACTGAACTTTCTCTAACAACATATCCATTGTCGCCTGTTTCAATATACATAGGCTGTTCAATGAGCTATGTCTGAAGGTGTGTTACACTTGTATTTGCTACTTAAATATAGAAATCCAAAAGAACGTGGAATAATGTATAGACCTTCTCTATCTCCACATAATTGTCCGATTAACTGAAGCATTTGTCCGAGGAATACACCACATAAAGAATTTCCATGGAGAAGGAAAAAGTGATCAGTGTTTGCACCTATTTTGCGCCTCACCTTTCATGTCATATCAGAAGTGTTTTCCCCTTGAAGTACTTTTTCAGTGGGAATTACTTGGGGCAAGATCTGGGTGGATGGACAAGACATTTCCAAACAGTCTACAAGGCAGCTGTTGGTGGAATTTTGGGATGCACAGGATATTCTCTTTTTCATTGTTGGGTCATTAAGCAACATTGACTGAAAGCCACTACTGTAGAATGGCACAGTGCCTGAAGGAAGCCATTCTGATGGAACACCCTGATTTGCACAGAGAAAATGATCCTTCTCCCAAACTTATTCTGTTTCCATTCAGCCTATGCCACTGTGCAAGTCCTTTAGCAGTTCCCAGGGTTATATCTTGCCTTCTGCTTTGTGATGTACACTTCTGTGGACCACTGAAGAAACACTTCTGATGTGATGATGAGGTGAAAGTTATGGTGTGCTGATAGAGCAAATATTCAATCCTTATTTCTTCTCTATGGGAATTAAACATGTGATATATTGCTGAGACAAACACCTCAGCTGGTCTGGTGATTGTGTGGAAACACAGAATAAGTGTGTTTGGTATGTTTGATAACCACGAATTTATAATTGGCGTGATATACATTTTGTGAGAATGAAGGAATCTGCACGGCATGAGTCTCTCTTGCTTCCACATCATCTTGCCTGCTCACATCATGTGATTCATTGAATTTCTGTTATATATACACAGTAACCAAAAATACTTAAAGGAAGACAGATTCTTAAAATGAATAACACCCGTTACATATATATTATGCATGTACAAGGGTCAACAAATGTAGGCTAACTTCAACAGTCAGACAAAAATTCTACTCCCCAAACAAATTGTGCCTACTGCAATCGCTGCATATCAGCCTACCTATCATCACATAACACATAAACCATATAAAGTACTGTCTCTTACAACGTATAATATATATAAAAGATATCATTTACTGTTAAAATTGACTTTTTGGCATTGGTAGAGAAATCTAAATAGAAAACGAGAATTATACAAAAGATTCAAGGACTTTTCTACTTATCTGCTTTAATTTTTCGCCCGTCACAGATAAGCAGATGATTGGATTTGTTGAGCCCTGTATATGTATATATATGTTATTCAGCATTAACAATAATGCCATGTATGTACTCTACCTTAAGACAATACCCTTTAAGTCACCAAAAGGGATCACTGTACACCCACAAACTAAGCCACATATGGACAGCAAGATGTGCCTCAAAACTCACACATCTACAGAGCATTGGATATTTCAGGAGGCAGAGTTCTGCATGATAATTGTCCCTTGTTGAGTAAAAGGGTAGATGTTATAAATATGGGACCATGTTCTGTCATTACAGTATGTACATGAAAAGTAGAGCCTCTAGGTTATATAGATCTATATAAACAGCAAGCATGATGCTAATGATAATGGGAATGTAACAGTTTTAATAAATCTGTTTTCCCAGCAACTGTTAAATTTAATTTGATTTGTACGTATTTATGTTCATTTATAAACATAACAGGAATCCCTATTCCTATATGAAAATAAAAGCAAAAGTCCTTTACTCAGCAGCCTTGCAACTATGATGTTCATGTTTACCTGACATACACATGATTTTGAATATGGCATACAAAACTCATGAATGTTGTTTAGAGAATAATATGTAATGCTAACACCGAGAGGAAAAATCTTAAGAAATAAAATTCTAGGCCATAATTTTAGTAACATGTTTTATCTTGCTGATGTAATTGAGCATCACATGATACAGAGGAGCATAATTTCAGTGGTAATGCTAGTATAATATTAAGATTACAATGTCCAGAGACATGACTCCATTCAGGTTGATAGATAGGTAATGATATTTTGAAGTAATCTGCTGCCTTCCAGCTTCAGGGGGGAAGAAAGAGGTATTCTCTGGACCACTGGTACCTATCTACCACACTAAACTGTGACACATCCCAGAAAACTATAATCTTAAATTTCTCTGAAGGGTACCAGCTTCTGGGATATAACGCCATGTAGTCCGTTGAAAGTCAACCTATATATTGGAGAAACACTGACTCCATCTTCAGGGTGGAATAAGTCAAGCAAGATACCAGCTTGAAAGGAGGTGGCAAGCTGAGTAATCGGCTGTCCAGAATTTTTGGATTATTTAGGAAGCATGAAGGAAATGAAAGAGAGGGCCTCAGTTCCCACTGGCTCACCATGGGACAGTATGAAACTTCTGGGCTCTCACATGACCATCGAGTGAACCAGTAGGAGACAAGAACAGGAGTTTATGAGACCCTGAAAAGGGACGTATTTGTTGGTCTAGGAAACCCGTTTCATTCTGTCCCATGGTGAGCCACTGGGAACTGAAGCCCTCTCTTACATTTCCCTCCTGCTTCCAATATAATATAAAATTTCTGTCCAGCTTATTATTAGGCTTGCCACCTGCTTTCATGCTGGTATCTTGCTCGGCAAAATGGAGGTGATATATTCTCCAAAACGTCAGTTGACTTTCAATGGACTACACTGCGTTATATCCCAGAAGATTATACTCTTCATAACCACTGCTTTGAGAACTTCAAATCCAACTTAACTTTGTCTGTTTGAAAGAACCTCAGATCTCACAGAGTATAATGCTGTTACAATCCAATGCCCTGCACGCATGCCACTGACCACCCTGTCACAAGTATTGCTGCAGGATTGTGACAGCTGCAAGGGTTACTAGTTTTTTATTTTTAGTTTAAAGTTTCAACAACACACATCCTGCCCCCAAGGCACTAGGAGCACCTACCTCTGTGCTGAGCAAGAGTTGAGCCTCACAGTAATGTTCACAGTTACCACTTAGGCATGTTCACACGGTCTTGTAGTTGCCTGACAGATAGCACTGCATGCAGGTTGGCTTACCTAGGTCCTTCACTGTCGTGGGCTGATAGTTCTCGGGCTGATGTGAGGACTGGATGAGTCGTGCCTGACTTCCTGTGCTGCCTGCTGATAGAGTGGACGTGGTGCTCAGACTTAGGTGGTTTGGTGTACGTCCTAGTGTTGCCTTTCCCTTGCTCTGCATTTCCTCCTCACCTTCTGATTTGGTGCCAGGGTCACAATTCTTATCAATATCTGACCGGTGTGTTGTGATTTCTTCTGGCATGACAACACAATACATCAGTTAGCTTAGCCCATAACTTGAGACTACATGACATAAGTGAATGAGATTACAGACACTTTTCAAGACAATGAATATTATGATCACTGTCCTCTGGGATTGAAATTTTCACTGTTTATGCTGTAGGAGTTTCAGTTGCATCAACAACTGCAGAAGACTAATCTATTTGCCTGGAATGTACAAGTTAAGAGATCTGTCTGGAAGTACTTATGAAACTAACAGTTTGTTATGACCTTCAAATGTTGGATTTTCTACAGTTTAATGAAGGAATATCTCTAATCATTTAGAGACATTATTGTACTAAAATTAACAAATGTTCTGTTTAATAGCTGTAAAACATTATGTGCACTTCCTCTTTATTAACCGGCAATGAATAAGGACAGGAATCAACAAATGCTGACCCAATTCACCAGTAAGATAAAAATGTTACACGGAAACTGCGCCTATTCATGCTATTCTGCTCTACTGCTAGTCTACATACTGTGACACAACACGTAACAGACAGCAAGTACTGTCCCATATATTTTATAACGTTTACTCTTCAAATCTGCTGCCAGATATCTGTAGAGAAGTTAAAAAAAGAGCACAATAGAATATTAACAATGAAATTGTAAGATATTTTCACTTATTTGCCTCGATTTTTCACTTGTCACAGGTGGGACAGTAAGTGGGTTTGTTCAGCCCTGAATGCATATGTGTCTGTGGTATATATAGGGGTCATGTCTGTCCATCTGTTAAACTACTGGACATGGAAGATTTCACCTAAAATTTGAATTGCTATTTAAATTTTGGCTGGGGCATGTGGTAGCGTAGTTGGTTGAGGCACTATGCTACAAACCAGAAGGTCGCGGGTTCGAGTCCCGATGAGGTGGATTTTTTTCAATTTACCTAATACTTCCAGCCACACTATGGCCCTGGAGTTGACTCAGCCTCTAACAGAAATGAGTACCTGAAATCTTCCTGGGGGAGGTAGAGTTAGCTGGCGCATAAGGTTGACAACCTTACCACCGTCTGTGAGCCAATTGTCTAGAGAAAATGTGGGAGCCTCATCATTTCGCAACCCTATGGGCCTTCATGGCCTGTTACAGGGATAGCTTTACTTTCTTTCTACTGTTTGTTACTTAAAGTTTGGTTAAAACTGGGCAGAAATAATGGTCACTTTACTTGAAGGTATATGTATGTTTCTTGTCACCTCTTGAGTCTAAGATGCATGGCTCCCTAAATCTTTGTCAGAGCAAGAAATGTCTCAAACAAAAGTTGCAGAGAGAACTGTGGTACAAATTTTGTGCTGAATATGTTTCTTCCATAAGTCTAACAGATTTCAAGGTAAACAATTTTTTTTTGTCATCTCAGAACCCAAGTACCATTCCACTGATTTTGACAATATCTTATATTGGAAGTCATTTCACGTATTACCAGAGGGACATGTCTGCCTGTCTAAATATCTGTGACATCTGACTGATTAACATCTTTAAAAGAAATACTGCAAAACAAAGATTAAAGTGATCTGGTTGTATGATGTGAATGGAAAAGAGAAGATAAAGGAGAAATACAGGCAAGAAGATTGTATGAAGAATGTCACTTGACTAAGCTTCTCATAGAAATGAGTATCAGGAATCTTCCTGGGTGTACAGGGCTTCCAGCACATAAGGCTTACTGCCATCTGTGATTTGATTATCTAGAAAATGTGGGGGCCACAACGTCTCACAACACAGTGGGCCTCCACGGCCTGTTCCAGGGATAGCTTTACCTTTTTACCTGTATGAAGAATGACACAGCAAGCCAAATAGAGGAGGGGGGATATGGAAGGAAAATGAATAGAATGAACAAGGCGTTAGTTTATTTTTATTTGTGGTTTGCTTAATGACACCGTAAATAGCTTAGACTTTACAGTATTGAGTGATTGAATAATTAGTGTATAATGAATTGGATGGAATGCAGGAGGAAGATGTGTGGCCCGAGTTGACATACAATCATGGAATTTCCCTGGAATGACTCAGGAAAACCACAAAATCCTCAGCCATGATAGTTGGTATCCCATCAAGGATTCAAACTGAGCCCCTCATGGCTATAAGTCAGAAACTGCTTGAAGTTACTTGCTCAGTAGAAAGATGTCATTAGGATCCCCAGCTGCATTGGTTATATGCGCTGAATGGTATTAATGAATTGGGAAGGATGAGACCTCTTTTAAGAAATTATATCATTTTCCTCGACAAACTGAGAAGAATCGTAGAAAATTCAGGATAGCTAATTTGTTGGCTGAGAAATGTAGGACCTCCTGAAAACAAAACAGAGTTCCCTGATTATGGTGTTCAGATCTAAATAAGAAATGCTTATTAAAAATTGCACCCACCTGTGCCATCACTAACAGTTTTGCTTCTTGACCGGAAGCTGCCGCTACCAGCATGCAGAATTTCCTCCCCAGAATCTCTGCTGGTGTCAAGGTTGTCATAATCAATGTTCCCTGCAGAGTGTCTCTGAGGGCCCTTTGGCGGTTTCTTGGGTTTCCCCAAAGTGTGTGATCCTTGGAGGATGACAACACCTTTACTAGTTGTTGGCAAAGCATTCTCATTTGCTGCTGCTGTACTCCCGACAGATGAGGTACCTGTGCCTGTGGTTGCACCTCACAGACAAAAAGAACACCCATCACTTTGCTATGAAGTCTTGTCTGATGATCTGCTGTACACCGCTCAACGTTTTGGCATGTATTGCACCTGTCATACTTGGGACAAAGTTGGTGACTGTAGTGTACAAGGAAATGGAATGGCTTCAACATATGGTGTGGCCAAATCCAGAAGGTCACACTTACACATTAGGCACAGACTGTCAAAATATTAGGACACCAATAAGCACCATTAATACGGATCACAGTTATACATAACATAGTAACATGTATAATATAGATTGGCAGCTGGTTGTATATTAATGTACTGACTGCCAATCCCATCACTTGACCAATTGAAATTTACAATATGTCAATGCCAATGCATTTGTTGACAGTAACTAATGGCTGGAATTAAGTTGAATCTTTTACAACGTTTGATAGATGTTGTACCTGTATTTGTTGAACCAGGTTTTGTCGCTGGAATGCTCATGTTCCTCACACTTTCTCTGATGATCTGCCGGACTGTCTTGAGGAAGGCATTTCTGAAGTCAGCAGTGCTGCATATACAGAGAAAGCAAAATATATCAGATGTTAAGGTCACTTAGAGATGAATTCTGAAATTCTTCCTTGAACATACTTTCATTCATCGCTTAAATGGGTGAATTTCACTGCATGAAATATTTTGAAGTATCATTACACTTGAATGGATGAAGGGTAACATTAATCACCTAACAGCAGCTGAGGTAAAATTCCTAAGAAGTACAGGAGGAAGAACAAATTCAGGGGGAGAGAATAAGGAAAAGTCAGAGGAAATTTAAATATAAATGCACTGAAAGATTAATAAATAACAGAATGAGATGGTAAGGCAAAGTTATTTCTATGCATAACTAATTAATCACTACGCCATGAAGGCATATGCGGGAGTGGATGTATAGATTCACGTTTTCTTGACTTCAGCACTAGTTGGAGGTGAGTGGTCAGCTTCATGCCTCGGCCACTTTATCCCCAGTGGAAATACGAGTAGCCCTGGGTACCCATTGGATAGGAGACTGGGCGGGTCCCAGAGGCGGTCCAGGCAATGTGGACAAGAGAAAATTCTTGCCCCACCGGGACTCGAACTCTAACTCTTCGGTCATCCAGCCTGTAGCCAGTCACTGTACCGAGTGTGCTATCCTTGCTCATGAATAAGATGGTATAAGCACATTTTAAGAATGAATGAAGACAGAGTCCTAAGAAGGTTTGGAATGTGAAAGTAAAAGGAATTCATCCAAGAGGAATACAAGGATGAAAATGGGAGCAGCATAATACAAAAGATATCATGCAGAACGAATAAGTAATACAAGGTAATTAAGGAGGAGGAGGTCTGGAAAGACATAGACAGATGGAAAGGCTTGGTTGTAAGATGACTCACATAAAAGCAGAGACATCAAATGAAGAAGAATAAATTAATACTAAGAAATAGAATGTTTTCTGTGGAACAACAGGACTGATCCTCACCTGTTGGACAGTACATACACCTTCTCTGACCGTCTCTGAAGCTGGCTGCGTAGATGGATAAGCTCCCACAGGAAATGAGAGTCCATGTCTTTAGCTGAGCTTGCTCGGACTTGAACTTCTGTGACCGGAATCAGAACTTGATATCTGATGATCTCAACCTCACTCGAACTGCTCTTACTTGTGACACCCTGTTGAATCAAGAGTCAGTGAACATGAACCATATCTGTAAATGTGTATAAACTTGTATTTCCTGAGACAGCTGTTATAAGAGAAGTTACAAATATTGGCGTTTTCACACCAATGTTTGTTCAGAGTATGATTTTTTGGAATGTGACGCTTGTAGCTTTGTACAGCTTTGTGACAGCAGCTTTTCTGAGGTGTTTGCTGTCACCGTCTTCAGAGTCCAAGCAAATATGGCAAGGTCACAGTTTATGTTGCACAGCTGGGTTGCAAGGAAGGTGATCACTCAGGTCTATACAGAGGAGAGAGAATGCAATCTGGGCTGACAATAATGGTTAACAGGAATTCAGTTCACCATTTTTCTTGGCCTAAGTTACCACCCCCCTTCATATGTGACTATTTAACCTAACTGCATCCCTATGCTATTGAATTTGACCCTGAATATGGAGGCAGAATATTCCTCCAATATATTTGTATTCACCCACAATAATACATCACGTCAAAACCCAGAAGAACACAGGCTGAGTAGCCACCACCACAAAAACCTGAATGCTTTTAAAGTAATTTGTCAGTTATTTCCTTTTCCTTTGTCTAATTTTAATGTTTTGCTGAAACAGTGACAGCATTTGTGTTTGTGTGGACTGAGGCCTATTATGATTTAGTCTCAAGCTTAGGATGTCGGTAAATATTGCAGTGAGTTGAACTGAACTTACCATGAGTTTCTTCTTCTGTCTAAGTCTCTCTTTGCATAGGAACACAACAGCTGACTTGAACACAAAGCACATTGCATGCAGTTCCAGACCCTTCTTGATCTTGCCAAGGAAGTCTGAAATGTTGAGCCATTCCACGCCTCCATAATACAGGAGGTCACCGGGACTCAAATCAATTGGCTGTTAAGCAAAGCAGTTGCATTAAAACTTAACAATAACATGGCAAAATTTCAGCTACTAAAAAAGCACACAATCAGTAATGAGACTAATTAGGAACAAACATTTCAGAATTAGGTTTCGGAGAATAGGAAAATTGTAAGAGAGTTTTATAATCTGGAAATTGTATAAAAATATTACAATTTCTTGTCAGATTAGAGGTTGTCATGTTCATAACATGAAACAAATAGAAAACTCTTAGGTTTGTTTCAGCAAGAGGTTCACTGCTCAAACAATGCTGTGTGATTATGGATCAGTGATCCATATGTGCAAACTAAATATACTCAGAAGTCACAGTTATTCACCTGTTTACATGATTTCTGATGCTGTCGGAAGAGGTGATCAAAGATGGCTCCATATTCCTCGTGTATCCTCTGCATCTCGTTAATGTGTTCAGCTACTTTCTCCATGCCTTTCAAGGCCTCTAAAACACAAATTTTGAAATGACTTAGCATGGGGTAAATATATGTGAGAATTGAGCTAAAACTGTCACTTTTACCACTTGATAATTTGAAGTGGTAGTTTTTCACACATTATAATTTATATATTTTTTTTTAATTTATCCAATCAGGCAAATACAATGTACATTCCTCATCACATGCTACAGTAAAACCAGTGTGATGTGTGTGACATGTGATAATAAGCTCTAGCTATTCTCCTGTAAACAAAATTCCTATGAAGTTTAAACCTGATATTATATTTTAAAATTAAGCTCAAACTTTGAACTGGTGCATGATCTTTCACACTGTGAAAAGTTACATATATTATGTATTACTGAAATTTTAATTTATGGAGATATTTTAAAGGTACATAAATTTCAGAGAAAAATATTTGAAAGAAAAGAAGATCTGGTGGTCTTAGGCATGATACTGGATTATCATTCAGAGGGTTCTGCATTTGATTTATGATCAGATATTTGTGTGTAGGTTTCTCTGCTCCCAGAGTGAAAACATCACTTCCAGGAAGTAAAACCCTAAGAATGTGAAGAATGCAAGCTCATATACCCACCAAAGGGTTCACAGCCAACGTTAAGCTGTAGGTGTCCTCTACTATCATCGTGATCACCCTACTATCATCAAGGCTAACAGAATCTGTCCTGTGAATGTTCCTTACTCAAAAATTGATTCTACATCCTTGCCAAGGTAGGCATAGGTCAGAAAAGTTGAACAGACCATAGATGGAAGCATTAGAAACAACTGCGTTTATGAAAGCCAAACCAGACTCACACGTTTTGTGTTACTTGTACATGAAGGAAGCATTTTATATTCTTGTTACTGTAATTTTAAAATACGGAAAAAACAATTGTGAATTAATGTGATTTATAAAGAAACGTATGGAGGCCCATCTAGGGCATCGATTTATATTAATTCAGAAAGAAGTATGAAGCATTTCTTTCAAGAACCACACTTGAAGGCGGTGGCCCTAGTTCATCCAAACATCCATATGCACTCACCCACTAGATGCTGGTGTTCATCTGCTTGTGGGTCTGTAAGGTTCCTCAGCTGTTGAAGCAACAATGGATACTTAAGGATTCTTTGTATTGGCTTGATAAGATATGATTCAAGTGTCGAGGAATGCTGCTGGCGAGGATTTCGTGCTGCAAGGAACTCTTGGAGTGCCTGATTGCCTTCATCTGCATAAGTAATTCAACATCATCAGTAACTGCACACCAAAGAAGCAGTAGTTCTTTAAAATTGAAGTTACATATAAGAATACCTATTACATTTTAACTGGCTTAATAAATAATTTAAAACCTCGAGACACTAAAACTAACAACGGATTAAGATGATTACTCACTTGGGTGCAGAACTTTTTGTGCTTTAGAGTGGCTGGCACAAAACGAGCTGTAGAGTTTGAAGTGATTCACATAGTACAGGAATGCACTACCCACAGAGAAGAGCACATTCTGCAATGGCATAAGTGTTTAACAGAAGAGAATAATGAAGCTATATTATAAATAATTTCATTTAATACAGACATTTTTTAGAAGCTGCAAGAACCTCAGCATTATATTAGATAAGCAAAATTACATTTATAATAATATTAATAACAAGTGGCTGTGCAGTAGTTCAAGTGGTTAGATGCTGGTTTCTCACTGAGAAGTTTTAGGATCAGTCTCTAGTTGCAAGATTTATGGTGGATTAAATGGAACTAGATTAGCGTTTTCTCTGAGGGGTTTTTTTTTTTCAGTTTTCCCCCTTCTAATTGCTATTCTACAAGCAATCTATACTCATCTATCATTGCCCCCAAAAAGGTGTGCTATAGCTCTGACTAGGTAGCACATTATCACATCTTCAGTCTCTAAACTGGGGACTTCAACATACTAGTTACAGAGTGAGGCTGCGCCATAGCTCAAGCGGTGAATCGCTGGCTTCCCACTGCGGCAGCCCGGGTTCGATCCCGGGTCTGGTCAAGTAGGATTTGTGGTGGACAAAGTGGCACTAGGGCAGGTTTTCTCTGAGTACTTTGGTTCCCCTGCCAATCTTCATCCCACCAATTGCTCCACAGTGATCCTCACCTATCATCTGGGGCTGGTACAATAGGCCAGAAGTGGCCGCAGTACAAGGGACTTAGTCCCACCCAACTAGCAATAAAAAAAAAAACAAACATTTTTTAGTAAAGAATAAGTAATTTAGGTTTATATTGAATGGTGGTTTCAGTAATGCTGCAATCTTGCTATCGCCTTAGTTCCCTGACCAAGTTAGTTCAAGCAATAATGCTTCCAACATGCATCTGAATCTCATCCAAAATGCCTTGACTGAGATTTTTATGGTTCTATGAAAGTTCTTCAAGCAAAGGTGGAAATAGTTTCTCAATTAGGGCATGGTAGGTTTCTTCCATATACTTTCCAGTTCATTATTCAGCAATCATTCTAACATTCAACACTATATAATCTGATATGCTGACCCCATTACAAGATACATCACATGAGAAACTGCTTCAGTTCAAGTCAGTACTTTCCAAAAATGAGGCTATAAACGTCATTCCACTTTGAGACCTGTTCCAGTGAAGTTTCTTTTCTGTGTCTGTTATATCCTTTTTGTTTTTCAACTAAAAAGTTTACTAGAAACAGCCACCGTGTCATTTAAACGTAGAATAATTTCTGTGGAATGAGAAAACTCCATATTTATTGTATTTAAAGACATTATATTGAAAAAAGAACAGTACAAACCAAGCAATTACTGATAGATGGTGTACTCACTTTAAATTGACTAGGGTGTTCAAATTTGTGGAAATCAGGCTCAAGTTCCAATGCTTCATCCAGATTTTGTAGGAACTGTCTTTGGAATGTTACAATCTCCTGAATGTTCCCAAACAAGGCATTGATCTCAGCATTTGATAGGAATGTCTCTTTCTTTAATGGTTCCAGGTAGTTCTCCAGCAGATTGTTCAAGTGCTGTAAGAGAGATGAGATATTTGAAGTTCTCAGACGTTAGTGCTAATCCCTTGAGACCTTCTTTTAGTGACATACCTCATGGCCTTAAGATCCTATTCAAATTTCTAAAAGGGTAAATTTACCTGGAAAAGGTCAAGTCAGACTCATGAGTCTTAGCCCTTTCAGTGCACCTACAAAACAGTCTTGTTGTTTGTAACAGTGAGTTCAACTTCAACTGTTAAAATGAAGGAACAAAAGTAATCCATTCTTTAATATGCTTTTTCTTTCTTATGTGTAAGTTTATTACATGTTTTAATACATTTATTCTGAAACACCACTTGTCTTCATTAACCCTTTAAAAGGTACAGTAAATATGATAACATTTTTGAGAGTGACATTGGTGAATTAAAATGTTTAGTACATAATAAGGTTAGACAAATTTAAATTCTCAGATTCCTTATCTCCATACTAAATTTGCAAAAATATTTTAAAATATATTTTATAAAATACTCTACCTATATTTTCAGCAAGCTTGCTTATGCAAAAACAAGAAGTTGTCATATGTAACCTCTCACTTTCTTGAACTGGCACCATTTCTTCGTATACAAAATAAATTCTGGCAAGCACTTTATAAATTTCACTAAAAGCCGTTACTTTGACATTACTTCCATCTTCCTTTGTATTATAATGCAGTCGCAGATTATTCTGAATTGTCTCAATTGTAACATTTCTGTGAAATCTTCAAAATAAATTGTTTCCAACTCTAGCTACTGAGCCACTCTTAATTACATAAATTACTTCATGACTTCACTGAATATGTACACTATCAGGAATGGAAATTAGTTATTAAAAACTGACATTTTCTAAACAAAAATCAAGACTGCAATGTTGACAGAAGCATAGGTACATCTCTCACTGCTACCTCTAGTTCATTCTGTAACTATTACTGACAACCATAGCTTCCTTTGGGTTTCATATGATTATTTTATTATACAGTTTAACAAAATTAAATGTACTGGTTCAGAAATCACAGGGAGGCTGACACTAACACGTACATACTCTTACACATATCTGCTCTCATATTTAACTTTCTCTTCTACATTACAGCCTCCATTGAGATACTGTTATGAATTAATACTGATGTCACATTGTCTTCACAAAAGTAAGGAAAATTCTTGCAACTCGTACCTTCACATACGTCCTCTCAGTGTCAACCAACTCTAACACTACTTTGCGGAGTTTCTCTGCATCTGAGAGTTGGCGGCTAGGAGTGAGCAGAGCCTGTGACTGGCTACTGGCCACACTCCCAGTAGGGCTGGACTTCCGTGTTTCCACTGGTGACCTGCAGAATCCAGTTACTTGTTCTGCTGTCTGGAACAGAAAGCCATTACACTGTGACTGTATAATTTGTTAACTGCCACTATAAACAGCAGAAACTCGTGTAACTATTATCCTTGCAGCATGAGATTATGTGTAAAAAATTCAACCCTGTGTTACTCAAAATCTTTCTGAAGATGCAGAGAAATGTCACAAACTTACATGGAATTTTCAGCCCATAAAATCATTAGATTTATGCAGAGATTAATTAAGATGTTCATTACACAGCTGCATCATCTGTCTGCACTCTTACAGGTATAAAAATTGACTGTATAACATGTTCTTTAACATTTTTCATGCTATAGATGTAAATACAGATCCTTTGATATGTCAAGTTAGGACAGTTAGATTAGGTCAAACTGTGTTAGATTAGGTTACAGGCATATATTATATCCTTTGGGATGTTAGATTAGATTAGCTCAGGCAGGTTAAGTTATGTTATATTTCGTATGTACATTACATCCTTTCATAATTCATTATTCTAAATTAATAAAGGAAGTCAGCACAGAAAGTGATAAAAGCCGAAGTGACTTGCAACATTCTTCCAGACACTATTCTATTACTTTTTGTTTTGGTGTCTGGTGTATGCTAGTCATTTGTAACAGACTGCCCAGGCAAATGTTCTTCTGGGTTACCTTTGTGTTATAAGATGTTGTAAGAACTTTACTTTGCAAGAAAAATAAATTCATTAACAATTGTTGGATAGACAATTTAAACATAATCTCACACATTTTTCACTCTACACATTTATTCTAATACAGTGGCCGAAGCTAATTAAATATGCCAATTTTATTTTCAGTAGGGAGATTAATGTCTTCTGAAAAGTGAACCATATGGTCTGGCAGATATTTACCAACATTCCTCCAAAACACTGGAAACCTCTACCAGACAACGTGTGTCATGTCCCAGAGGACAGTAATCTTTATAGTCACTACTGTGGGAACCTCAAATATCATTTACCTTCAGTAGATTTTCAATCTCAAAAGAACTTGTCCGTGAAGTAGCTTTTCCAGTATCACTGGAGGGTGCTGGAGAACTCTCTGTTTCAGGGGAATACAGTTCTTTACCTGCATAACACAAAGCAGAAACTTCAAATTATATATTTACCAACAATAAGAAATTAAATTGATAATATAATCATGAAGTCATAATGCTATGACTAATCTTGCCTTCTCATCTGCTTCATTAGATAATGTGAACCGGGACACCGAGAAGGCCATTACAATTAAAACTTAAAAGAAAGAGATGTATGATAAGATCCAGAACAAGGTGGTTCAGATGGGTATTGTAAGCTGTCAAGAGGAAGAAAAATGGCTGACAACAAATTTAAAAGGAAATATTATGGGAAGAAGGCAGAGATTGGAGACTTTCTCTTTCATCAACCTGCATAAAGTGGAAATAATGCTTGAAGAAGATGATCCATGTACTAAGGAATTCCGTTGACAAATAATGGTAGATATAATAAAAATACGACACTCACTCCAACCCGGCGCAGGGACGATCAGGCCAGAGATCATCTCCTCGCTGATGACGGGCGGTTCTGAGGGAGGGGGAGGACAAACAAGGCTCTCGATAATATCGTCCGTTGCTCTCATGATGCCAGCAAGATCCGGTGGTTCTGTGCGCGAAGAACGCATCATCATGCAGAGGGCCAGTTCCTCCTGCAGAACGCTCTCCAGGTACATCATGTCCAAGTCGCTCACAATAGCTCCATTGATCACCATGATCTCGTCGCCCTTGATGATTCCTGTTAAGAAAACATTTTGTGATGTGTGGGTACTTAAATAATTGTCATACTTTTCTTTATCCACATTTGTTGTCTAAAAGCAGGTATCTGTAAATTCATTCTGAAAAACTAAATATGAGTTGCAGATATGGTAAAGGCTTGAAGTTTGTTGTGACAATTATGTAACCAGACTGATTTGTATGACTTTACAGAAAGACTTGTACTGGGCATAGAACATGTGTTTCATTTTGCCTACAATTTATGTCTGAAGAATTTTTCGCTCCAATAAATTACTGAATAAATTATGCTTGACATGCATGCAGAAACACGTGTATGTCTGCATGAAAAATTTATCTTGCTCTTGTTAAATTTAAATCATAATTTTGATATGTCAACAAGTGTCAGTAAAACTCTCCTATATGTAATTTCATGAAAACTTTTAAGGAGTTTTTTCAAGCATAGAGACAGATAGATGCTTAGAGCAATTTTAACAGGCACCCTGCAGGATTTCAAATTAACCTAATAAGATGGTAAGGAAGCATGAATACAAATACAAGAGGCAATCCACCCACATGGAAACCTGAATATATGTTTCAGGCTTGAATTCACCAGTTCTCCTCCAGTTTGAGCATAACAAACCCCTGTGTTATTCTAGAGTCTGGGTGTCTGAGTACCCAACTCACCATTCTGCATGGCCACGCTCTTGTCCTCCACTCGGCTCACATAGCAGCAGAGCTCGTCCTGGCGGTCTGCATTCTCTATAAGTTCTGCTTCCACTGAAAAGCCCCACATCTGCTCCAAAGTAGTCCGTTGAAGTTCTACTTGGTAGAGAATTTTGGCGCATACCTCCACAATTTCGTGCGTATGAAGCTGCAAAATGTAATTTTCTTCCTGGTGTTACATGCATATGTTACACTGTGGAGTAACTGTTAGACTCAACAGGAGGCATGGGAGCATAGAATTAGCGGTAGTGGCAAAAGTTTGAACTTCAGTAAAAACCACCACTGTTATTGCAGTATAAACTCAGAAATACTGACTTGACAATTCTGCTTTTGCGCCAGATAATGGCAACTACCCTCATTTCCATATGTTCACGTGTATTTCTGCTCTAAATAATTGTTTTCAGTTATGGGTACTGAATTTCTTTCCAAATAAATGACATTAGCCTAAATCAGTATGATAATCTTCTGCTAGCACAAATTATTCTGTGTTCAATGCTCTGTGTTATGAGTATTTTACTTTTATACATAATTTATTGAGTGAGATTTGAGATTCAAATTTCAGTGATTATGAACATGATAGCTGCTTCAATCCATACAAATGCTGGTAACTGTGTATCAGTCCACAGAGAGTCACATCCAAGGAGGTAGTAACCTTCATAGTCATTCCAGGTTTTTCATATAAATCTCCCATTATTATTATTATTAATTCTCATTTTAAAATTATTGTAATCTCTCATGAAACTCATATTTCATCAGTAAGGTTTAATCTTCACTGGGAGCATATAGCCCTTAAATCGACACTTTATATCCATATGTAGTCATATTTATTCTCAATATTGTTTAATTTATTAACTCTGTTTATATTGACAAATACCCCACATTTTGCTCTTTTATACTTTCTAACACCATTAGAGAAATGTACAAAACATTTTTTATTTCAATACCACATTTCCATATGGTTTCCATTAATATTATTACATCAGTTTGCAAAAGAACAGAAAGAGCAGCTGCAACAATGATGATGACAACGTTGACAATAACATTAATAATAGTAATAGTAGTAGTAATAATAATAATAATAATAATAATAATAATAATAATATCCTAAGATAATAACCATCACAAATTGAAAATATAAAAAAAAATATTAATACAGAGAAAAATAAAACAAGATTTTTAAGAAGTGCAGGTTGAACAATAATTACGTATGTTTCTATGAGGTCCGTCCGATGCGGAACGAAATAGTTGTGGTCTTCCATGTCTCGTCTCTTCTTGACACGAACAAAATGTTCCATGGCGTTTAAATTCTTGCGACCACAAGCACTCGCGAGGAACTCCTCCACGGACATCGCATCCCGCAGGTATACGTGAGCAGTCTGCGGGGACCAGCACGCCCAAGGAATTATCCACATGGAGTATGTCAGACACACCAGGAAATTGGGTCACAATTAAAGAATCAGCTAATCTAAAAATTCCCGTCCTCTTCGAACTTTGAAATTAAAGAGGCTAACTTCTATATAACAGGTATAGACAAATAAATATATCATAATATGCCAACTCAGAACCAAACTTCTGAAACATGCTGTTTGAAGGAACATTATTTACATTAATTAACATTCCTTTCACTGTGTGAGACTTCAGGTTCTCATGGTGGTGACTATGATAGTTATTGTTTACTGGGATGTGACGCCGGGAAATCCGGTAGATTGTTACACGTTTCTCTAGGAATGTGCTGCCTCAATATTTATCATAGAATGAATCACGAATCTGTCTTACCCTGAAGATGAGTGCAATATTTGCCTCAAAAGCTTCGGTAATTATTTACCAAAGAACATGGAATCACATCCCAGGAGACAATAAACTTCATTCTTGTTAATTTTTATTTCTTAGACCTTAAAATGACTGTTTTAAAGTCTGTTTTAGTTGGACTCCGCCTTTTAGATTATACATGGCCAAAAGTGCAAGGTCATATGCATATGGAATTTTAATTTTTTTGTCTTAACTCCTGCATATGGTTTCTGGTATGCTGGCTTACATATCCTGCCTTGTATTGGTTCTGGTGTCTGGAAGAGGGGACCAGCTCTTTTAGTTGTGCCAGATGAACAGACTTTTTACCTACGGACAGAGACTGTCCAACCTCTGAAACGTTGTTTAAATAAAAATAGCACAATGGATGAAGTCCAGAATGTCAAATGATGTATCAAAACAGTTGCTACAAACATTCAAAACTGCAGTTACAAAATTCAGTACTATTCACACACTTTCTCTGGTTCTGTCTCATGCCTCTCTCTGACACAATACAAAGTAAAGTAAAGTAGGTATAGCTATCCCTGTAACAGTCCATGAAGGCCCATAGGGTTGTGAGACGTTGAGGGTCCCACATTGTCTAGACAATTGGCTCAAAGATGGTGGTAAGCTTGTCAGCCCTACGCTCGGGCTGCGCTTTACTCCCCAGGAAAATTATTTAATTAATTCCTGGTGCTCATTTCTGTTAGAGGCTCAGTAAACCCCAGGGCCTAGTGTGGCTGGAAGGATTAGGTCAACTGAAAAAATCCAATGACCTCAACACAATACAAAGTATGGGTAAAAATTCTAATTTATTTTATCATTATATTTGTAAGTGTTCAGTCCTAAAACAGACAGTTTTATAGCTGCCACATTCATAAGAATTTGAATATTGATCAAATAAAGGATTTAGTCCTGTATTAATTACTATACTTCATTAAGAAATGTAGAATATGGACAAAGCTTATATTTGGTGTTGTCTTTTGGACTGCATTTCCTTGGTGTGTTTAGGGATTTCTGTCTCTTCCTCTAATATTTGATACATATATATGTAAATATGCTTTCATTTTGAAGATCAGGTTGTGAACATTGACCCAGCACAAATTTATCTTCCTCAATTATTTTGTTAATATCTGTTTCATTGCTTTGGTTAATAACATCAATAATTAACAAAAGAAGGATAATCTGCAACACATTTTACCTGGTTTTTGCATGTGAAATGTATCTTCATGTGCTGGTTAGTTAGAGTATTAAAATAATGGAAAGACTGATACCCCTATTGTGGTCTGCAGATAAGGCCTACTATTCTAGTTGAATATCAGCACTAAACCTTAAGCAAACTGTCTCAGGCAGTGATATCTTCTGAAATCATGTTTTGCTGGTATCCTCACATACAGTTATAGCCTTAGAGTTAAAACCCATTGGATTGGCAGATGTGCAGCCTTTGATTTTAGACAAATTTCCCAGTATGCATACTAGTGTGCACCAGGTGGGGTGGGGACACTGGTCTTAGGTAAAAATCAGCAGGTGGCAGTAGTACCAGAAACTAAGTAACTGATTCCATGGGAAAAGTCCTTCTTGAGAAACTAATAGTTAGATTTTCAAGAAATTCACCACTAGCTCTTTTTCCTTATACCTTACACCCACTGCAGTCCCATTCTTGCCAAAGTGAAAAATTTTTCATTGATATTTTCTTTCATATGTATTGATGGAAGCATTACAGGTACAAAACATTTATTTTAAAAAATTAGAGTTCATAAATAATGTGATAACGTGGATAATGCCACAGTGCACATGGTATATATGCAGGAATTCAATTTTAAGAGCTGATACCCTCCATACTCTGCTACTATAAACACTTAATGGAAAAATGAATAAACGTTGCTTAATAGTAATTAATATAACAACAATGAATAAGTACTCTAACATAGACACATAGCAATGAATTCTGAAGTTCCTAGAACTGGATTACAATGACAAACATGTTATATTTTAATGTACAACTTTGATTGTTGGGAATAAGAATGTTGAAGGTTTGTTAACGTTTTTGCAAACATTGCAGTTGCCATCTTCAGGGTGGTTGTCTCAGTTGGCCGATTGGTCAGTTAATTTGCTGCTGACCCCTGCCAGCACAGTCATTCTTGGCTTCAGGTATCTTTGAAGTCTATGACAGGGATTTTTTTCTCTTCTAGACATGTACATGTTAAGAAGTGGGGCATATTCTTTGATGAGGTCTTTCTGTGTATGCACAACATCTGTTGCACCTCTTTGTAATTCATTGACAGCTAAATTGCTGTCAGCCCTTGAGGACTCTGAAGCCCATATATGTACATTAGGAAGCTCACTGTGAGTGGGAGATGAAAGTGTGATTGGATGAAACAGAGAAATGGGGTGCTGTCCAATATGGATGAATTTCTGATTGAGGGAAAGAAGTGACGAGAAAAAAAAAGCAGTTTAGAGAAACAGAAAGTCACGGATAGGTTCAACTTGAGTATGACCACTTCAGTGATTATAGCAACACTGGAAAGTATTCAGCATTATAATGGCTCATTCCCAAGAGCCAAAGTTGCACACTGAACTCCCGCTGCTATATTTCCTTCCAATACCTGATTATCAGGCAGAGATACTTTGACAGTCTTTTCACTCTCCTCTCTTGACGTCATCTGGAGTGAACGCCGGCTAGAGCCAGAATTTGAGCGGGAGAGCATAGGAGGCCTGCGTTTTGTGGCCCCTCGACCAGCTAGCAGATTGTTCAGTAGTGATGGACTCCGGGCACAAATGAAGGCATGAAATGAAGATACAGTGAACACTCCCAGCTTGTTCAGTGTATTCTTTGTAGCACGAGACACATGGGTTAGGAGGCTCTGGAAGAAGTTGAAGAGAATCACATTCTGTAACATACTTCTTAATCAGATGCTAAAGATAAATCTCTGGAAACAGTTTTAGAATATACAACATTAAATAAAAGTTCATACTCATAATTACAGAGGGAAATAGAGAAACAAATAAACATATCATATTTGATACATATCCTTGAATCCAGTGTCAGAGATTAGCTCCATCTAATGGACAGAGCAGAGTAGGTTTCACAGTATTATCTGATGATTTAAGCAGAGACATCTTTTGAAACATATCTTCTTATCGAAACCATGACAATGGAAAATGCCCAATATCTGTATCAATTTAATAACTTAATTTCAACACAAAATCTTTAGACTTAACACATGATTTGGTAAACTATATCTCACCTTCGGGTTGGGCAGTTCTCCACTTTGCAAACTTGCCATGTAACAGCGAAGTCTGAACTGTTCACAATGCAGCCGCTCGAGGTTCTCCTCCCACTGAACAATTTGGTTGTTGATCTGTTGTTTTGTCTCTGGGTCTGATACTACACTTTGCTGTAAGTCTGCCATGTGCTTCAGCTTGTGGTCCTGTATGATATAATGCAAAGTCCACAAGTTCAGATGTACTTACATAGGAGTTAACCCTATCTTACCTATAATTTTACAAATGACGTTCATTGAAGGATATCTCTGTGATGAAACATTCAGTAAATAAGATTAACAAGCTATTATTATACAAAACCCACTCAAAGAGAGAGAGAGAGAAAAAGAAGAAATCCAAGCAATAGATGTCTTCTTGAATGTGATATGCTGTGGACTGGCAGATCATTACCATCATTTCTGAGAGACCTGCTGTATCCATCTTCAGGGAAGCCCTGAAGATGGAGGAAGCAGGTTCTTGAAAAATACTGGAATGATCTGCCAGACTACACAGCATCATTCATGGTCATCACTGTGAGAGCCTTCATTTTCATATGTGTATGCCACTCTTGACCAGTATTAAGTAAAAAACAATAAAGGATAGAATTTAAAATGAAAATTCTACAGAATTTGGAATTTAAAGTTTGTTAACAGTTAGAAAAGAAATTATTTGAATGATTAAGCCATTAAATATGGGACTTCACTAGATTTAATGGTGAAGAAAGAAATCTCACTCTCTTGAATGACTTCACTAGCAATGAATCTAGTATCACTGACTTGTATGTGGAGTATGGAAATTATTATTTTTAATGTCATGTACAGTCTACTGCAAATTGCAAAAACCAAGTTGTAGGGCTCCTGAGGAATAATTTCTTGGCTCCAGCAAAGCAGCGTTTTTTGGTCAATAAATTAGATTAATTTTGGTCCTTGTTTGTGATGCAATACTAATTCAAGGCTGTAGTGCAAAAAGACACATGTTTATGTGAAACTTCACTACACCTTGGAATGTGCATGAAAGAGCTACTGTCATACTCAGCGGCCTCCATAGTCTAGAGGTAACGTTCCCACCTCATGACTCGTGGTACGTGGGTTCAAACCTGGTGGAGGTCGTGGAATTTTTAAGGGTGGAAAAATTCAGGGAACAAGTCCTCCGGGAGGGACTTTAAGCTGTGGGTCCTGTGTCGTAGCTTTACGGCACGTAAAAGAACCTCATATCTCCAAAGGAGGTCACTGAGCCAAATTCAAGGACATTTCCCGCCCAACAGTATTCTCTAACGCCTCTGATAGATGGGGGAAGCATTATAGACACCGCCAAGCCAGTAGAGGCCGAACTCGCTGGCTCGGTCAGGACTGATGGCACACACCAATATCGGTAGGGTATAGAGACTGGTAGAATATCATAGAGGGAAGCACAATGGACCAATACTGGTCTAAGTGCATGGGGAAACCCACCCTCTCCAATAACTAACTACTGTCATACTCACCGACTCAATGGCCTTCTCCAGACGGAAGATTTCTTCCTGCAGCAGGTGCAAGGTGCCTGTTTTACCGCGATGACGTGCAAATGCAGCTGCACAGGCAGAGTGGATACTGTTCACCCAGTTCTCTAGCTCAACTTGACATGGTGCCTGAACATAGCAGCAGTGTTAATGAGATGAACTCACTCCAAATCTGAACATAGCAGCAGTGTTAATGAGATGAACTCACTCCAGATCTGAACATAAAAGTAGTGTTAATGAGGTGAACTCATTACGCATACAAATCTGAACATAAAAGTAGTGTTAATGAGGTGAACTCACTCCAGATCTGAACATAGCAGCAGCGTTAATGAGGTGAACTCATTGCTCGTACAAGTCTGAACATAACAGTAGTGCTAATGACACAAACTCACTGCCTCTCTAAACATAACTGTAAGTGTCAATGAGATGAAGTCACTGCAAGTACTTGCATCTGCAGAGTAAAACCATCAGTGGCATATGCTGAATGAAGATGTACATATATCAGCATATATTTTCCAGTTTTAAATGTATACTTACATGGAGCCTGACACACAGGGACAGCGAAATGCCAAAGAGAAACCATGTAAGTCATATGTGTCTCCAGGGCTGGGAATGGGAGTAGCAGTGAGTGGATGCCATCTACTTAGTTCCAGAGCACTTCATTTCAAGGAAGCTATTTTCTATGCCTTACAACATCATAACTGACATTCCCAGTAATGGTATATGTAGAAACAAATTCACGACCTGGTCATTCCATAGCGCTTTTCTACTGATCTGAAGAGTCTACCTTGTTCTGAGAAACCAATTCCAGCTATGTGCGGCTTGAACGTTCAGTAAGTTTGGCTACATCTGGTCTACAGGATGCTTCAAATGTAATACAGGTACAGCACCACAGAAAATACAGTTATGTTGACACTGCAATGTATTTGTTTGATAGTCAATTTGTTCACTCACCTGAAAGAGGTAGGCATCCCCAAAGGCTGTGCTGAGGCAGAAGATGTAGTCCCTTTTTGGGTGCTCTGGTATAGGTTGCATGATCGCACCATCAACGATAATGAGGTGCTTGGGGGCTGCCTCAACGGAGCGTCCCTCTCGGGAATCACATGGATAGAAGAGAAGGGTGGTGCCCTTCAGGCATACCCAGTAGCCCTTCCAGCCCCGCTTGCGTGCCAGCTCTATCTGGTGCTTTTTCCGAAGCAGCCACTTCTTTACGCTCAGGAATCTGAGTCAGGATACAGGATCTTAATGAATGCACTTGGAAAATGTCAGCATTCCACTGAGGCCACTCTTCCCGCATTGTTTCTCTTGTCAAAAAGGAATGTAAAACTCTGAGATGGGAACAACAGTATTCCATATTTAATTTTATTAAGTCAATTACGACTGACGATTTACTTGACAGCCAAAATAAACTTAGAGCCCACAGTGTACCTCGAGTTATACGATTCCAAAACAAACAAACTCCGTGGCTTTAGTCCGCAAGCGAATTACACCGACCGAGGGACCGCCGCATGTCGGCGAAGTTAGTACCAACTTTAACGGCTAGAGTGTGTCGTGTGGTCAGCGCAACGAATCCGCACGGCCGCTAATTTCGCTTTTCTAGACCGGAGCCGCTACTTTTTCATTCAAGTAGCTCCTATTATCCTCACGAGGTTGAGTGGACCCCGTTCTAGACCCACTACTTCTCAGGAAATCTGGCAACGCCGGGAATCGAACCCGGGACCTCTGGATCTGTAGCCACGAACTGTGACCACTAGACCACAGATAGGATTTTAAACACAAATCTGAAATCAGCAAATTCGGCCAACTTGTATATTTTAAAATAATTACTGTCCTTGAGGCAATGCAGATGGAAAGTGTGTACGCGCAGAAGACATAGGCGATGGGTGGTAGTGCGATTGCTATACCTATCCTATTGCTTTTGATTATGAGGTGTACTGCACTTATTTATCGTGACTATATAACGTGAAAAGGTGAAGTTGTCCTTGTGCTTAATTCATAAAACACCATGACAGGAAGGTGTATAAGGGAACAGAGGAATAGCTCCACTATTCTTGACCTCGGCACTAGATGGAGGCCAATGGTCAGGTTCACGTCCCTGACGCTTTATCCCCGGTACCGATTGGATAGGAGATTGGGTGGGGCCCAGAGCCGGTCTGGACGCTGTGGAGAAGAAAAAATCTCTTGCCCCTGGCGGGAATTGAACCTCGGCCGTCCATCCCGTAGCCCGTCCCTCTCTCGACTGAGCTCTTCCGGCCCTTCAATATGTCTATGTACGTACTATCCGGCAATGGGGATTATTTCTGATGGCAGAGAAGTGTGCTCTTATTACAATGGGACCAAGATAATTTCTGTACGAATGTATTTCCGCTTATAAATTGGCAAGACAATGGCAAAACAGCGTTCGCATTACGGATTTTCACGGTGCAGACCCAGTTTCTAGTGGGTGCGTGTTGCGTATGTTCTTTACCCACTGTTTGTAACAGGAAGTTGCTTTTGGGGGCAACATGCAATGCGGCACAGTTCCGAAACGCGAAGCCACACGGGATCTGAGGTTCTCACAGCGGTGGGATATAACGCCGCGTGTACTGCTGAAATTCAACCGACGTTTCGGAGGAACATATCGCCTCCATCCGGCGCGAAGGCAGGTGGCAAGCCGGCTTGCCATCTGCTTACACGCTGGTATTTTTCTCTGCTTATTCGACCCTGAAGATGGAGGTGATATGTTCCTCAGAAACGTCAGTTAATTTTCAGCGGACTACACTTCGTTATTTCCCCGAAGATAGTACTCTTAAATTTTATAAACGTTTACTTGACTTTTACCCCCCACCCCGAGGGTTTCCACCTCGTCGCAATGGGAGGGCCCAGTCCCGGATGACGCAGCCCGCCATGTTGGCAAAGCTGTCCTTACCAAGTGACAGGAGATGAGGGGAAGCTGGTATCAGCCCACAGCGAGAGCATCAGCTCCATCGGCGCCGGCGGGGTGGTGGTGGGAAATCAGGCATCTCCCCCTCCCATGGACTTTTTAAAAACTGTCTCAATTGAACTGGATCCGTTTTGAGAAGTCAGAGTTGCTCAGTTAATCAGAAACTTCCGAACATTTTACGGAACCAGAATGTTCATTACTGTATCCACAAGAGCGATTGCCAATTGTGTCTGTCCTCAGCTATATTGAATCCAGCCCATACAATTCCAATCTATTTTGGATCTTCATTGAAAAAAAAATTAAAAATGTAAAAAAGGAAATCTGTAAAATATTAACGCGAAAATTAAAATAATTACAAACATATATGCTTCTACCCTAAATGCGCTAGGATAACCAGCATAACTAGTCTCAGCACGCACATACACACGCCGAATACCAGCCTCGAACATTACCGCTACGGAAACCTGCTCGTGACAGCCTTTCGACCTGTGAATGCAAGTGAGTGGGACATATAAGTAGTTCCATTTTTCTGATGACATTTTTGTGTAAAATGTATAAATCTCGGATGTTCGAAAGAGATCTTGCTTTTCAGATGGCAGTAGAATATTAACTGGATGCATAGAATGGAATGTGATAATGTGAATGGAAGTGGCCGTGGCCCGATTCAAGGCATTCCTCTGTATGGGCTCGGAAATGTAAGATTATAATTTAGTCAGAAAGTAAGAAAGTAAATCTATCCTATCTTAATTTGGTACGTGGAACTAACGTCATAACTTACACAATTCTCCAAGTACATATAATTAGAGTGATCAAGTCAAGGATGATGAGATGGGCAGAGTATGTAGAGAGAGGAGGAATGCATATAAGGTATTGGTGGGAAAGCCAGAAAGAAAGATACCACTAAGAAGACCAAGACGTAGGTGGCTAGATAATATTAAAATATATCTTAGAGATGTAGGATAGGGTGGTATGGGATGGATCGATCTGGCTCAGGATATGAACCAGTGGAGGGCTCTTGTGAACACGGTAATGAACCTTCGGGTTCCATAAAATGCTGGGAAGTTTGTGAGTAGCTGCACAATTGGCGGCTTCTCAAGAAGGGCTCAGCTCCATGAAGTTAGTATAATGTGAGAACCGACTGATGCGTTACTGGTCCACTGAGCTCCTAACATCGGAATAGCTTAGCGACGCCCTTCGTCAGAAGAAAGGCCACAGAGTCTGCGCAGCACGCTGCAAGCCTATACGGCCCAACTACAACTACAACTCTCGTAAATCGATTTTATGGACGTGGGGCAAATCCACAAGGGAGTGAAGGCGCCAGGCAGGGCAGCATGGAAAATTAAATTTGTTTACTTCAGTAACTTCCCAGATTCTGCTGTAGGAGTTTCATGGTTTCCACAGGGCCTTTTCCTAATACCACGTGTGCACAAATTGACTACAACGTACTCTGAAGAAACTTCGAATCACATCGACGCTCATGCCATCTTTATCTGAGGGGTCTCGGTCATTCTTCCACGGAAACTGGGTTCTGAACATACGAGCCACCTGCTTTCACGCTGCTGTGTTGCTCGGATTATTCGACCCTAAGACAGAAGCGATATGTTACTCCGAAACGTCGATTTACTTCCAAACTGACTACACGGTGTTAGAACCTCAAATACTGCGTATATATAATATAGGCCGTGATTTTTGCCATGGCCTCTGGAATGCGAGTGAGAGGAAATGAGACGCAGCGGGACAGTGGTTGCGGTTGTGTTGCGCTAAAGCTGTACGGCGGCACTCATGTCTAAGTAATACACACCCTACAGTCTCTTTCTCTCAGTGGTAGGATGTAAAGGTATCCCTGTAACATTCCGTGGAGGCCCGTAGGGTTGTGAGACGTCGAGGCTCCCACATTTTGTAGACAATCGGCTCACAGATGGTGGTGATGTTGCCAGCCTTACGCGCCAGCTGCCCTTTACCCCTCAGGAAGATTCCTGGTACTCATTTCTGTTAGAGGCTTAGTCGACTCCCAGGGCCATAGTGCGGCTGGAAGGATTAGGCCTACGTCAATTGAAAAATCCAATGATCATATTAGAATTCGAAATCGCGACCTTCCAGCTTGTAGCACGCTGCCTCAACTAGCTACTCTAGCACTTTGGATGGGGGTGGGTCTCTCTCAGTAGACTCGACCAAATGTACTGCGCATTCTGTTCAGAACTGCCACGTTTCAAAATATGGACTGTATGTTACAAACGGAAAAGGAAGAGAATAAGTTTTAAAGAAACGTACAGTCTCTGCATTGTTTACTCTTCGTGCTTCAGTTTCTCTGCACCTGAGTGACATCTGCAGGAGCAAATGAGATTTGCGTGTGTAGTGACCGTAGTCCCTCCGTCACTTGTCGGCACAGGCTGTGGCCCGCGGTCAACTTAATTAGTGCAGTGACAGGATTGACACTGAATGTGTTACAAACACGCCTGAACACGGCTAACTCTGATATACTGCTTTCACGTTTCGACAGAACTATTTTCCATCGTGTTTCAATTTTATCTGACTAGGGGCTGGACGGGGGCACGCCGTAGCGTAGTTGGTTGAGGCGCTATGCTACAAGCCGGAAGGTCGCGGGTTAAAGTCCCGATGAGGTCATTGGAGTTTTTTTTCAATTCACCTAATCCTTCCAGCCGCACTATGGCCCTGGGGTCGACTCATCCTTTAACAGAAATGAGTACCAGGAATTAATTAAATAACTTTCCTTGGGAGTAAAGCGCGGCCGGTGCGTAAGGCTGACAACCTCACCGCCATCTGTGAGCCGATTGTCTAGAAAATGTGGGACCCTCAACATCTCACAAACCCATGGGCCTGCACGGCCTGTTACAGGGATAGCTTTACTTTTTTACTTTTACGGGCTGGACGAGCGAGGGGTCGGAGTTCGAGTCCTGGTAGGGTCAATACTTTTTGTCTTCTGCACGTCGCCCAGAGCGGCTCTGGGACCCACATAGCCTTTTATCCAATCATTACCGGGGCTCTTCCCCGGGGGTAAAGCGGCCGGGGCTCGAAGCTGACCACTCATCTCTAACTAGTGCCGATGTCAAGAGAATGTGGATCTACACATCCTCTCCCCCCTTAGCCTCCATGGCATAGTGATTCATTGAAGCATAAGGACAACTTTAACTATTTTACGTTTTTCGGTTTTGTATATCGAATTTTGAGCCAAAATAACTATTTTTTTCATATTGTTTCTATATACTTTCCGCACGAATGACGGGGAGCGGACTGCATACAGGGTGTGGTGGGAAAACTACAAGGAAGGAGACCGTTAGGAAGGCCTAGACGTAACTGAGTGGACAATATTAAAATGGATCTTAGACAGGTGAAGTGGTATGGACTGGATTGATATGGCTCATGATAGGGGCCAGTGGCCCACTCTTATGAGCACGGTAGTGAATCTTCTTGTTCCATAAAATGTCAGGAAATTGAGTAGCTGAGCGACTGGCAGCTTCTTAAGAAGAACTCGTCTGCATGGAATTAGGTTATGAGTTCTTATAATTTATCTCAACGATAATGTAAGAAGAATATAATTTTATTAAATTATTATCATTTAAATGACGCCACTATTTCACATTACAGAATAATCTGTTTGCATGTTCACAGGACTTGCATACAAACAAAAACACTGCTTCCGATTTGCAAGTCCTCACAGCAGTGACAAGTAAGAATGCATTTTTTTCTAGGATGTGACGCCGTATAGTCCGGTAGAAGCTCACCGATGTTTCAGAGGAACGTACTGCTTCTATCCTCAGGGTCGAAGAATAAGCCAAGTAAGCAGCAAACACAATTTTGCTTCCTGCTGATTGCTTCTTGAACATAATTTTCGACCCTGAAGATGTGGGCAGTAAGTTCCTCCGAAACGATGACGGAATTCTACCAGAGTAGACGGCATCATATCTCTTGTGCATGCGGTGTTCGAGCCAGCGTTTCTGTTCCGTGGGAATATTTACTGAGCATCGCGAACTCACCCCGCCTTCCTGACGGCGCCGGTGCAGTTGAAGGACGCCGCAGCGGTGCCTGTCTGCTTGGCGCGGTACGGCGAATTGTGGACGCTCTCCTCTTCGTCGCTCACCGCCGTTGTCAGAGACATCCTGTCGTCGTCCGACATCTGCAGACAAAAGTTAACAGTAACTGGATCACGTGATCTGCCTGCCCACGGACTTCAACCGCCTTCAGCGACTAAGGCTGTTTACGCCGAATAGTGCGATGACTGATGAATGATGACAAGGAAATGATTTGCAAGTCAGTGGGGCTGCTCTAATCGAGATACAATCTCAGGAAAATCCTTTCGGACGTTTCTAAGTTATTTCATGCATACAGACGGATAGACGAAACGATTTTAGTAGGCGAGCCATAGGTTTGCGAACGCGCCTAATAACCCTAATGCTTCGGAAATTAGTTCTATTTCCGCCTTCAGTTGGAGAGGTCTACCTGGGTGCAGAAGGGTTCATGCTGTGGACCCTGAGAAAATAGAAATCTCTATATCCTCTCCACCTGACGACGGAAAGTGAATCCATTTCCGAAATATTGTGGGATTATGTAAAATTTAGGACGATGGCTGGAGTCGAAATAACTCTAAATTTTGTGTGACATTATTTTGAAATGGCTGTACCCTTGCATAACAAGAAGTTACGTTTGTCCCCTTCATCCAATATTTTAGGGTAATTAAATCCAGGGCCGGATTTAAGGGGGAGTGACAGGGCCTCCACGAAACAGAAACGAAATCCACAGATTTCATTCAGACATTTGCTTCTCTAAAATCACAAAAATTAGTTTATATTTCAGTTATTTTAAGAAATAAGAACACGAAAATTAATTTCCAAGATTTTAATTTGTTTTAGTGATACAAACTCCCACACAGACTGAGGGTGTTTGAGAACAGGGTGTTGAGGAGAATATTTAGAGCGAAGAGGGACGAAGTGACATGAGGTTGGAGAAAACTGCATAATGAGGAGCTTCATAACTTGTACTCTTCTCCAAGTATAATTAGAATGATCAAGTCAAGGAGGATGAGATAGGCAGGGCATATAGCACGAAAGGGTAGAAGATTATTGCATATAGGATATTTGTTGGAGAGCCAGATGGAAAGAGGCCACAAGGAAAACCAAGACGTGGGTTATTGGATAATACTAAAATGGATCTTTGATAGGATGTGTTGGTATGGACTGGATTGATCTGGCTCAGGATAGAGACCAGTGGAGGGCTCTTGTGAAGACGGTAATGAACCTTCGGGTTCCATAAAATGTTAGGAAGTTCTTGTAGCTGCAGAACTGGCGGCTTCTCAAGAGGGGCTCAGCTTCATGAAGCTAGTTAGTTAGTTTAACACATTCATGAAATAAATGAATAATAACAATTATGCATATGTAAATATGTAAAATGGCAATGTAACATGCAGTCCGTCAACTCTGTTTTCATTTATGAGGAATCTGAGGAAAGTTTCATATTTGATTTCAATTGCGGAACACCTTGGCTTGCGGAACGCAAGTGTTCTGCTCGGATATAGTTTGATAGCCACTGACCTGAGAAAATCAAAGCAAGTCCGAACAATGCAGGAGGGGAACAGATATTGAATCGGACAAATGAGGCCTGTATAAATCCTTCCAGTTTGCTCAAGGTTTCGTGTACAGATTACATCCAAGCGACAGGATATCTATGGCGGTTTAATGTACAAGCTGTCTGAGCCATGGCTTAGGGCCTGAAAATATGACAGCCCGCCAAATACTGGAAAATAAATCAACCTCGAGACAAACACAGCATTCTCTTGTAAAAGTCGAAAAAATAACAAATGGCTGACTGCACCTCGCCAGATTAGAACCGTGGAAACAACACAGAGGAACAGAACACGACGCGTCCAACAATTCTTCTATTGTTATGTGTGTATTTTTTGCAGCAGTAGCGTTATTTATCGAGTCGTTTCCTGGCAACGATAGAGGCTGCACGTACAGACACAGACTGATAACGGGGCTTTGAGCCGTTGAGATGACCTTAGGCGCCATGATATACATTCCAAGCTCCGTAAATATTGTTTCAGGTATTAACAACTTGGTAAGGAGGATACACAGACAGAGAGCACGGCGATCTCATAAGCCCACTTTTATTTTTTAAAAATGAAGAAAATGAACAAAAAAAATCACACGGAGTCTAGTTTAGAAGCTGATAGCGTCAATAGTAAACCGTATATAAATTCATTTTTATCCTAGCCTGTGGCATGGCGAAGTCTATATCCAGCCCCCTCCAGTCTATGCAGTATATCCGATCGGTGTCAGTTTGTGAACTGTTACAAGTGGAGTGTTGAAGTATGACCTCCCAGGGCACATCTGGAGTCTCAAGCTCTCTATATAACAATGGATACAAGAACAAAGTGTCACCGATAGAATGGGATGGAACAAGTGGCTCTTCACTCCACCAACTTCACAAAGAGACACTTCTCTTATGCTTTGTATTCATTTCAAACAGGATATTTTTGGCTCAGCTAAACCTGACGTCCTGTATGTGCCATCCGCTTGCTCACAAAAGTATTGTGGCGCATAGACCCGTTGCTAAGCGGTGACCCTGTAAACAGCGGCCGTTGCTAGTAATGCCCACAACACAGACGAATGCAACAGTATGAGAACGGTGTTTTCTGTGGGCCGCGCCGCGTCCATTTCTGGGAAACTGCTTTGTAAACACGTTCCCGCTGCAACGGACACGAGCGCAATAATAGAAGAACGGTGTTTTGTATGCGGTCTGTGTTGAGATATTTTAAGCAAGGCACTAAGTTAATTGAGACTTGAGTTCTACAACAGGAGGTAGTGAAGATACGACCTGAACGCGTGAACCTGAAGTATCTCCGCTGTTAGAAGCCGTTGCCAAGAAACGGCTGGTGAAGTCATAGACTGGAAAATGCTTAACGGGTGCTGTTGTGCTTTGTGAATTGTGGAGTTTTGCTTTTGCGCTGTAATTGCTTGTAGTTGCTAGTTGTATATAAGTGGTCAATAAATCCACACAAATCCAAACCCCGTCTATAGTCAAACACACCACATGGCAGTATTTTGAAGAAACTTGGTATAGCCTAATCTTAATACACCTCGGTATTTGCATGGAGGGACTGAAGAAACCCACAGAAGACCTCACGGAATCCTATATTCCGACCGAGGTTCTAACCACGTACCTCCAGGACAAGCCCAAAGAGCGTCACCGCTACTCCAACTCGCTCAGTTTTTATGTTTCATAATGTGACATGATGCCTGAAAGCCGGAATAGTGGAGCCAGAGTAAACGTTCATTGCTAGGCAACAACACTGTAAATAGGTTCCTGCGGCAAAATACGTAAGAAACAATCGAAGTATTTTGGGGCTATAACGACGGAAACGGTGTTTTCTGTTGGGTTCTCCCCGAGGCTGTAGAACGAGGCTTACAGCCTGGCTAGAATTAGAATTGAAGGGGTATCTTGAAACGACAGTCGAAGGTGATGGAGAAGAAATGACGAGAGAGGAAGTAGGTTGTGTACTGCAGTTACAGTGAGACTGGTATAACTGCAATGTTGAAATCCGTTGCCAGGATACGACTAGTGAAGACTGAGAATCCTAGCGTGTGTGTAACGTTGAACAGTAAAGTGTAGCTGAGTGATAGCGCTGTACTGCCTGTAGTTACAAACTGAGTGTATGAGTGAAATAAATCCAATCATCGAATTGAAACCATGTCTAAAAGTCACCCCCTACACATGACAATATTTTTCTGACAGCAAATAGTGATTACCTCCTCAAACAACATCAACAGTCTGTCTCTGAAATGGAGACGCAGTGTATTTTCTGTAGAATAGGAAATAATTTGTTAAATATTGTTTGGGCGTTTTCGAAGCTTCTAAAAGAAGAGAGAATAGATTATACAAAATTATAATTTTGTCTGTGTTTCTGTATGGGTGTGAAACTTTGTCTCTGATATTAAGGGAGAAACACAGACTGAGGGTGTTTGGGAACAGGATGTTGAGGAGATTATTTGGACCGAAGAGAGATGAAGTGACGGGAGGTTGGAGAAAACTACATAATGAGGAGCTTCATAAATTGTACTCCTCTCCAAGTATAATTAGCATGATCATGTCAAGGAGAATGAGATGGACATGGCATGTAGCATGAATAGGGTAGAATATGAAGCATATAGGATATTGGTGGTAAAGCAAAAAGTAAAGAGACCACTAGGAAGACCAAGGCATAGGTGGGTAGACAATATTAGAATGGATCTTGGAGAGATAGGATTGGTTGTTATGGACTGGATTGATCTGGCTCAGGATAGGGACCAGTGGATGGTTCTTGTGAACAAGGTAATAAACCCTCGGATTCCATTAAATGCTGGGAAATTCTTGAGTAGCTGCACAACTAACAGCTTCTCAAGGAGGGCTCAACTCCATGAGTGAGTGAGGCTTCAGAGGGCTAAGATAATGGGGTTTAATTTAGTTTTAGTAGACTATCATGCGTTTAGCATTAACATACATATTTCAACAAGCGGCGAAGCTTCATGTAGTGATCATCTCTGCACTCGACCGGCGCATGCGCTGATTCTTCCAAGTGCGGAGATGACCGAGAACTATTTCCCTCGGGGGTAAAGCTGCCGGTTTCTGCTGCTAATAGCACATCTGCATATAATGCCAAAGGTTAAGAAAGACTAGAGCTACACCCCCACAATAAAATCAATCAGGTTCCTCTGAAGGGCTGGTAGAGACCTACCAGACTACACGGCAGTACATCCTAGAAGACTCTAAACTTCGTAGTCACTGCCGGCAGAAACTCGAATCTCACATATTCTTTACCCTCTTGAGATTAATCGAACCCAGTTCAACGTACAGTAAATCTGAATTATTAGTTCCCGATGTGACACTTTCATCGCAATGATACACGAATTTGGTAGCAAGGTGAGAGACAAATGGACACGAAACAGCTGTGGAATGAACAAGTGCCTGCAGAGCTTCGTGCATGCAACACGCTATACAGTCGTAGCGGAGAAGTTGCCGCTCGTTCACGGCGTTTTGCAGATTCAATTCCGCACGCAACACGTAGTCAATTAACTTCACTTTGGACAATACAGAGGCTCTATAAATTAGGTCGAAATTTGAACAGCCATATCTCAGAAGTGA